CACAATTACGAAGCTATAGTACATCATAACGATACAAAAATTTACGTGTTTTGTACTAAGCTCAACCAACTTCGACCTTCTCCATCGACCGACGCTGGAAATCGAATTTGCACTAATCGTACAGCATTCTTATCTTCTTCCACTGCTTTATATTCCGAGGTAGTTGGTACGACTATCGTTTCCCCGTCTTCAGTTTCGTTATAATTATACACCTCTTCCACTTGTTCCGAATCTTCAGTTTTGCATTCCATCACTTCATTTTCGGCAAAATTCATCTGAAAATTACACGATATTTCAATCCGTTCGATCGCATCGAACACGCGTTCAACGCGTTCAACGTTTTACACGACGACGATAGTCGAGAGGATAGACGCGTAAAACTTTGTACGTACTTCTTCGTCAACAAGATGATTCACGTCCTCGTCCGCGACATTCTCCTCCGTCGAAATATTCAACACATCTTCTTCGTTGTACATTTGATCGTCGTTTTGTTGCTGTATAATAACATGGTCTTTCAATTCCGTCACGTACAGTTCAGTTTCATCCAACTGCAAAAGATACGTCGCGACACAAAGGAAATCAGTCGGTTTTTCGCCTCAACGCGAGAGGCGAGAGGCGAGAGGCGAAGAACAAAAAGAGGAACAGATCGGTTCAATTACCTGATCATTTTCCGTTTCATCGACTAAAAGCTCCACGTTGCCATCGGAGATCGTTATAACTTGATCGTCTTCCGTAGTGAGTCGCGGCTGATTAACCACAATGGTATCGTTCAAATGACCCTGAAAGAAGAAACAACGAGAACAAACGACAATAATAAATACAGTGTATCTCGATATCGCAAGTGGATACCACACGTCACGATACAACTCTCACCTGAGCCTGCATATGAGCATACAACAAAGGTTTCCTCATAAAACCCATGCCACATACCAGACACTCGTACGGCTTTTTATCGCTGTGTATAAATCGGTGTGCATTTCTATTGTCTCGACTGTTGAACGCTTTGCCACAAACCTGAAATTTTACAATATCGTCGCGATGATAAAAATCAGACGCTCGAACAAACGTCGCGACGTTAAACAAATAAATGTAATTTTTTGTCGCAAGCACCTCACAGAGGTAAGGTTTCTCCCCAGTGTGTATACGTATATGTTTTTTGAAATGTTCGGGGTATACGAACGTCGCTGTACATATGTCGCATTTATACGGTCTTTCGCCGGTATGAGCTGCCTTTATGTGATAGTCCAACAATCTTCTCCGTTTGAATCCTTTCCCGCAGTCGTCGCATTTGTACCGTTTATCGTTATAATGTGTCGCGCGCTTGTGAGATTGCAAGTTGGATCGCTGACTAAAAAAAATCATAAAAACGTCACGTACGGTTACACGTTATTTCTATGCCAAATCGGCGCATTTCGACAGCGCACAAATATATAAAAATATACCTAAACGTAGCCCCGCAAAATTCGCACTGATACGGTTTTTCTCCGGTATGCGTTCTTTCGTGATCCCTTATTTCGGCTTTACGGGCAAATGCTTTGCCGCATACCCTGCATATGTACGGTTTGTAACCTGTATGCACTATATTGTGCACTTCCAAATTATGCGGCGAACCAAACGCTTTTCCTGTAATTTTATCATTTCCATCCATTTTACATCGTTACACGACGCCACAAACGAACGAACGAACGAATTTTAACATTTAATCTCAACAACAGTCAACGTTTCAACTTTAACATTTTTTTATTTCAATCTCGATATCTCGAAAAGCGGGAAAACGAAAGAAATAACTTGACAAATCATACCACACTGATGACAAACATACTCCTTCACACCGTTGTGAGTTCTTTCATGCTGATTAAGATTTTGTTGACTCAAAAACGTTTTGTTACATTGCGAACACTCGTACGGACGAGGCCGTATCTCGTGCGTCTTCACGTGTGCTTTGTAAGTATATTTCGAAGCAAAATCTTTACCACAGTTTTCACACACGTACGGACGTACACCCGTATGCGTATTGATATGTTCCTCCAACAAGTTTCTGGAACTGCAGAAACAAGAGATCGCAGCAACGTAAGTTTACACCACGAGAGCGTGGAAAAACCGTGGAAAAATCATACAGTTTACGTTTACCTATATCGTTTACCGCAACTCTCGCACGGCCAACATTTCACTTGCGGATAATGTATCCTCTTGTGAATTCTAAATAATCGCAGATTACTAAATATCCTATTGCATATTTCACATTGAAAATCTCCTTCCTCCTTGGCAACGTGATCGTCCAGATGAACAGACAGTTCGTTTCTCTTTCTAAAGTCGTCGCCACATATATCGCAGATATACAAACGCGTTTCGTGCACACCTCTTACGTGCGCGATGATAGACTTTGCATCTCCTACGGTTTTATCATCTTCGTTCGTACACAACAAACAAGCGTACACGGAACCATCTCTGGCTACGATCTGAAAAATAACGCATCGTTATTCCGCGTTGATAGAAAGCGCCAAACGTCATCGCGGTCGTATCGCGACCTACTTGTTCTTGAGCAGGTTCAACTTTCGGCGTAGCAAGTTTTGCCCTTTTTATCCTTTTTCTCTCTTCGGTATTGCTCGTTTCCGGTACATCCTCGACTTTCATAACGATTTCTCCAGATTCATCTTCCTCTTCCTCCTCTAACCTCTCTTCCTCACCTTCCATCTCCCGAATCTCCGATTCATCCTTGTATAAATTTTCAAACGTTAC